TGCTGGGAACATTCTTCTTCCACATGTCTCTGACTTCTGTTTTTGCTCAAATGTCACTTTTTTCCACTGTGGCCTACGCTGAATACCTTTTTCTAAAAAACCAGAGCTCTCTGTGGCTGCATGGTCCCCAGTCCTGCCCAGAGGGATTCCTGAGAGCAGACCCCCAAAATAAAAACAAATAACTCCCCGCCTCACCCCACCCCCAAACTATTATGCTTCACCAAAACATACAAAAACCCCAGACAATGAAGCTTTAATTTATTTATTTATGGTTTTGAGGCTCTATCTGGTAGTGCTTAGGGGACCATACGTGGTACCAGGGATTGAACCAGAGTCAGCTGCATGCAAGGCAAGTACCTTAATTTTATTTTTTGAGTTTTGGGGCTATGTTTGGTGGTGCGCAGGGATCACTCCTGGCAGAGAGCAGTGCTTTTCAAGCTTTTTATGCCTGCAGCCTCTGTTTGTTCTCAGATCAATAGCACAAAACACTATTGCCCTGAATGGAAAGAACACAATCCCATGAACCACTATGAATTTAGTGTGTTGGATTTCCTGTTTGGGGTGTAATAAATAAATGTGTGTTGTGTAAGCCACCACTGTAGCACTGTCCTCCCATTGTTCAGCGATTTGCTCGAGCGGGCCCAATAATGTCTCCATTGTGAGACTTGTTATTGTGTTTGGCATATCAAATACATCACGGGTAGCCTGCCAACCACCACTACATTTTAAAAGAATAAAGCTAATTTATGTGTGAAAAATTAAAACAACTGTAGCATTCAAGAAGGACTGGAATGATAGCACAGTGGTAGGGCGTTTGCCTTGCGCACGGCCAGCCTGGCCGAGCCAGGTTCGATTCCTCCGCCCCTCTTGGAGAGCCTGGCAAGCTACCGAGAGTATTCAATATGCCAAACACAGTAACAGGAAGTCTCACAATGGAGACGTTACTGGGCCCGCTTGAGCAAATCGATGAACAACGGGAAGACAGTGACAGTGGATAACATTCAAGAATAAAGTGCAGATATTAGTGCATGTCACTAGGTGATGCTCTTTGTCAAATTTCTCTTCTGCTCATCTGAGGAATTGTAACTCACTAGATGGAAAGAATGTATTTTAAATCTAATAATGATTTAACTTGCTCTTTAATTCTAAAAGTTACAGAGTCCAGAGAGTAAACTTATATGCAAAACCAATAAGCCACACAAATTTAAGGAAAAAGACTTTCTATAAGGCTAGAAGTTTACACTATTGAAGTCTCTAGATCATGAACATGATAATCTCTTGCTATTTATATCTTTTTCATTTATGTCTCTATTTTCTTTAATTTAGTAAGTTTTTGAGAGGAGTGAGGGATCAAAAAAGGGCAAAGCATTCACCAGCGAACTCTATCTGTGGTCCACCATGTTTCTTAAATGACATATGGCACTTCTTTAAGGTAAGTCCTGAATGAACTGACCCAAGTTCAATTCCTGGATACCACATACAGTGGTAATTTATTTTTACAGTCAATCAAATTAAATTTATTTTTACAGTCAATCAAAATTAAAGGGGGCTTAGTTTATTAGCAATGTGGAAAATACAAATTAGAATAAAGAGGTGCTATATAGCACACATATCAGAGAAATTCAAAAGGCTGATATCAATTGTTGGGAAGGATGCAGAGAACTGGGACTTTAACAAAACTCTCCCGTAGGTAAAGGAGTTAATCCTTCTGGAAGGATAGCGTGACATTATATGTATTGTAAGACTAAAGATAAATATTAATGTTTCCTACCTCATTATATATCTAATAGAAATGTGAAGAAACAAGACTTCTGTATCAAAGTATACTGTAACAATGTTCACAGGAGTAATTAATTTATAGCAAGAAAAATCTGAGATAAATTGAAATATCTTAAAAGTAGAGAATACATTACTGTGTATAAATACACTGGAACAAAAAAACAGTGATTTAGAACAAATGAAAGTTCTTGCCATTTAAGACTCATCAATCTAAAAAATTTGGGAGCCAGATCAATAGTACAGCGGGAAGGGCATTTGCCTTACATGTGGCTGATCTGGGTCTGATCCTTGGCACCCTATATGGTCCCCTAAGCACACCAGGAGTGATCCCTTTAGTGCAGAGCCAGGAATAAACCCTGAGCACAGGCAGGTGCGACCTACAAACAAAACAATCTCAAGGATTTCATAGCAATGAAATAAAGAAATTTAAAAATGTATGCATAGTATAAATCTGTTTTATGAAGTTCAATACTAGTTCCCAAAGCTTACGTTCGTATGGGTCTGGAAATATAAAAATATATGCCATCCATCTATTGAATATAAAGAAAATATTGGAAATAGATAGTAAAGGGGTTAAGGTGCTTAACTTGCATGCAGACAGCCCAAGAGTAAGCCACACCTGGGTGTCACCCAAAATTAAAAACAAAATAATAATAATTTTTTTAAAAAAATAGGAAAAACATGGCTATGTTAATTGGAAATCTAGGTTAAGACTGTATAAATGGTCAATGTACTAGTTTGCTGCTTTTATTAAGGTTGGTAATTTAATGAGCTAAAAAGAGGTAAAAAGAGAAAAATCCCAATTGACATTGTTTAGAAGTGGTTTCTTCACCTGAACTATGGATGACTTTTCTTCCTTATGTGTAAAAATATACACATATTAAGAGAGATTCCTCCACCAGCTGCACACTCTAGGGGTAAAGGCAGCTCAGATAGAGAAGGGAGCACCAAATAAAGGATGTTGGGAAGATCTGCCCAGGATGGGAGATGCATGCTGAAAGTAGACTACACACCGAACATGATTGCCACCCACTGCCTCTTTTGCAAACCACAGCACCCAAAAGGAGAGAGAGAACAAAAGGGAGTGCCCTGACACAGAGGCAGGGTGGAATGGGGGGATGAGGGGGGTGGGAGGGATACTGGGACCCATAGTGGTGGAAAATGGGCACTGGTGGAGGGATGGGTATTTGATCATTGTACAACTGAAACCCAAGCAGAAAAATGTCTAAGTCTACAACTGTACCTCATGGTGTTTCACTAATAAAATAAATAAATAAATAAAATGAGAGAGAGAGAGAGAGAGAGAGAGAGAGAGAGAGAGAGAGAGAGAGAGAGAGAGAGAGAGAGAGATGCCTCCAGATCCTGCACCAGGCTGAGTCTCATCCGGGGCACGCTGGAGGGGGCAGATAAGCCCATCACCTGCCCAATCTGAGTCTCAGCAACCAAAACCCTCCATAACCCAATTGCTGCCATGCTCATGGCAGATCTAGGAACAAGCCTCGTCCATGAATGAATCTGGTATGCGGGTTCTGTGACTGAATTCTCCAGGCTCTTATGGACTCGGAATGAGTGGCTTCCTCCTATTTCTGTTCTTCAGGGAGCCTGGCAGTCACGCCCACAAACTGCCTCCTATGCTATGTAAGCTCATTAACCGGCCATGATCCACAGACTCACAAATACATCTAGGAAGAGATCAACAAGTTAAAGAGATGCATGGGAGATGCATGCTGAAAGTAGACTATAAAGAAAATATAAATATAAATATTTCTGAACCCCAAAGTCACCATCCAGTTAAAAATTTAACTCTAGCCGCATCACACCATTTAAAATTTTAGAATTCCTAGAGCAGCATCTCATACTCTACACCACTGATGTACTAGGAGCAGCACATCACATTGGATGGGATGTAAAGTAGAAGGGAATCAATCTTGTTGAAAAAAAAATATTAGCATAAAACGCTCAACCTGTAGAAATATGTTAGCAATCGCCATACAAGGGTTTAATGGCTCCAGGATGAGATGCGACAATCTTGGCAAAGTTTCTTCTAAGGAAACATTTTTGACTATTTTTAGTGATTTATTCATAATAAAAGGTAAAAGGTAAAGGCCCTCCCGTTGATCGTCAATTTGCTCGAGCGGGCCCAGTAACGTCTCCATTGGAGACTTTGTTGTTACTGTGTCTGGCATATCGAATACTCTCGGTAGCTTGCCGGGCTCTCCGAGGGGCGGAGGAATCGAACTCAGGTCGGCCATGTTGGCCGCTTGTAAGACGAATGCCTTACCGCTGTGCTATAAAATAAATTAGTTAGGGCCTGCTGTTGGGAAGGAGTGGGTGGCTGGAAAAACTCAAAATAATGGTGGTGGGAAGGTGTGATGGTGGTGGGATTGGTGTTGGAACATTGAATGTAATAAATTATTGTGGACAACTTTAAAACAAAAAAATCAAGGGGAAGGAAGAAGAGAAAAGGAAGCAAGGGGAAAACAGGGGGCTGGGGCTTCAGAAAACTTCAGTTACAGGCCATTTATCCAAAACAAAGACTCAACAACACTGGAAACAGAAGATCTAAGCCGCAACCACTGGAACTTTGTAATGTGCCTGTCAAGATGACACATGGGGGATTGGCATTGGGGTAGGTGGGGATGGGATATGGAACACTTGAAGGAGGGAATTTGACACTGGTGGTGGGATTGGTGTTGAAATATTATACACCTAAAACTAAAACTATCGATAACTTTGTAAATCACGGTTCTCAATTAAATAAAAAAATTATTTAAAAATGCTTTCTATACATATGTCATCATAAAAAAAGTTAAGGGATGTTATAGGTACATAAAAATATTTCAATTAATTAATAAAAGGGTCCTTGGGTCATATTTTGAGGTATCGGGGCGCTATTCTCAACTCTGTGCTTGAGGGGAAAGGGGTTATTCGCTGAAGTGGGGATCTACGTGGTGCCAGGGATTGACCCCTTGGATGTTGCAGATCTGGGTTTGATCTCTAGCATCACATATGGTGTCCCGAGCCCACCAGGAGTGACCCCTGAGCACAGAACCAGGAGTAAGTTCTGAGCACTGCAGGTGTGGCCCCCAAATAAAAGAAACAAAACCATTTTAAAGAGAAATTGTTATACATTTGTTGAACATTATTGTACAAAAATAAAAAGCTTTATACAATACATAAGCAATGCAAGTTACTTTTTAAGTTTTTTGCTGTGTGGGGACTTGAGCACAAACTACCAAAACATGTTTACTGATTATCAGTGTTTTTTTTTTTTTTTTCAAACATGGAGTCTTAGCATATGCCTGGCTAATGTTTACTAAGCACCCGAGTTTTTATTCACGGATTTTCCCCCAACTCCTTCCTGCTTCCCTTCATTATCATAACTGGGCATTGCACACATGCCTGTCTGAGGTGATTGCCAGAGTACCAATTGCCTGAGGATAGCAAGATAATAATGCCATCTGACTCTTTTTGTTTGTTTTGTTTTGGGGGTATACTGAGCTATTCTCAGGACTGACTCTTGGTTCTATGCTCTGGAATCCTCCCGGCAGGATTGGGGGAAACTACGTGCTGCCAGAGACATGTCAGCCACATGCAAGCCAAGCACTCTACCTGCTGCACTGTCTCTCCGGCCCAATGTCATCTGATTTTTACATTACATACTTTTAATGCAAGTATCAATCCTATAACTTGGTTAGCTTGATATTAGGAAGCATATTCTTCTGAATAATTCCCCATATTTATTCTGGCAGGCATTCTTGCAAATGCAACAAAATTTTAAAGAAACTCTGTGAAACGTCTATATTCAAATACCACCTGTAACATCCAACATCCTCCATATAAAATGTGCTTGTTTCTAGAGCTTCATCTGATTTCCACATTAGGATTTCACGAAATATTTTTTAGTAAAATACTTAAGAGCAAAACTTGTTCAGAATTTCATGTTTTGGACAGTCAACAGAATGATACTAATCAATCTCATTGCCATCTTCTGAGTCATCTAAATCAATATCAAAATCTAAATCATGACTTTCTTCTTTATTTCTTCTGTGGCTTCTTCTATGATTAGAATGTAGATTATTTTCAAGATCTTCCATCTTTTCTGTTTCTTTATTAAACCTGAAAATGGAAAAAAACAATTTCAATACTTCCTCTGGCTTTCATTATTGAAAAAAACCATTGTACTTTATTTCTTGACTGAAAGAAATTAATACATTAAGGAAAGGTAGGTCCCCCCGCCCCCCTTGGTTTTAGGGCCAACCCTGGCTGTGCTCAGGGTTTACTCCTGGCTGTGTGTTCAGGGATCACTCCTGACAAGCTCAGGGCTCACCTGGGGGCTTGTTGTTGTACTACAGCTCTGATCCCATGGAAAGTTGTTATATTACGGGTAATTCTTTCATAAAAGGCAATAAATGTGAACCTCATGGGTAAATATTCAAATTTCCTAGAAGTGTTTCACTGTAAAACAAAACAGTTTAACAAAAATCAAGACTTTCTTCCTAATTAGGTAGAAAAAAGTCTACATTAGAGAGATCTGTTGCAATTTAAGATTTCCCAAGCTACCGAATGTTTCCGGGAAGGAAATTAATGCACCAGTTACTGAAAGATAAAACCCAAAGATAAAAAGAAATACTCACGGAATAACAATGTCTTCCTTCTTTCCACATTTTGCACAAACCTCAAGCTCACACGCACACGGCCGACACATGATGTGATAAGAATCCTTCACTGTCTTCTGCAAACACTTAACACTAAAAGTGGAAAAGAAAATATTAAGTTTTAGAATGGCCTGATATTTACTTGGCAAAACAAGGATATAGCTAAATGTATAGATAAAATGCCTGAAAATTAAAAATAGTTTGGTTTCAACCTCAGATATTTATTCGTGGCACTTTATCATTATCATTATTATTATTATTAGGGCTGGAGCAATAGCACAGCGGTAGGGCATTTGCCTTGCATGCAGCCGACATGGCTGACCCGAGTTCGATTCCTCTGCCCCTCTCGGAGAGCCCGGCAAGCTACCGGGAGTATCTCGCCTGCACGGCAGAGCCTGGCAAGCTCCCCGTGACGTATTCGATATGCCAAACACAGTAACAACAAAGTCTCCAATGGAGACATTACTGGGCCCGCGTGACAAATCGATGAACAACGGGAGGGCCTTTTATTATTATTATTATTATTATTATTATTATTATTATTATTATTATTGGTTTTGATTTTGGTTTCTGGGCCTTACCCCAGCTTGCTCTTGGCTCTGTGCTTGGGGGATCTCTCCTGGTAGTGCTGAGAGGGAACTTACACAGTCCCAGAGACTAAAATTGGGGATGGCCGTGCGCAATGCAACTGCTTCACCCCTGCATTACCTCTCCAGCCCCGAGTGACAGCACTTTAGATGATGATTTTCACCTTACAGCTACAAAGTAATAACACTGAGGTTTATCTCTTTTTCTTAAGGTTGGGAGGGGGCAATGTCCTGTGGAGGGCCGAGGATGGTTCAGCTGCAACAGCATCCTCCCTGTAAGAATGCAGTAAATCCCATCTCTGCCATTCACCCCGCCTGTGCCAGAAGAGATCTCTCTGCTGCCTGGGACCTGAAGTGCAGCAACCAAGTGTGATCTCTGGTGAAATGCAGTCAGGATGATATGAGTTCTACAACTAAGAGGGCCCCATCCCTGGGAAGCACTGCAACAAAAATGTGTGAGCACCAGAGGCTGTTGAATATATGTGACCATCACAACAAATGATGTGCTCATGACCAAATGTGCAAACATCACAACTACAGTACGTGACGCTGGCAATCGCAGTGCGTGTGTGAGCCCTCCAGCAATCATAATCAAAGGTGAGTACAATCTCTGGTCATCACAAAATCCTACAACAATAGCCAAAAATGGGGAAGGAATTTTTTTTTTCTGTTATTGTTTTTGAGCCATTCCCACTGATACTTAGAGGGACCATACGGGATGTCAGAGATAGAACCCGGTTTGCTGAGTGCAAGGCAAGTACCCTACATTCTGTACTATCTCTCCAGCCAGCGGAAGAACATTTGAAGGTCATATGGGTCCTTGCATGGCACAAACAAGGAATGGACTCTAATCATTTCAGCCACTTTCCCACCGTATTTTGTTACTGTTAGATGCGACAATCTTCCAACATTTGTATAATATTGTTTAATTTTCTATACTACTGAAAGCAATCTACAAATTCAATGTAATCGCTCTCAAAATTCCAAAGACATTTTTCACGAAACAGAATGAACAATCCCAAAATTTGCACGGAACACAAAAGATCCTAAACAAGAGGATGAATCACGAGAAGAAGAATTCTGGTGGTGCTTCAAAACAGATAACAAACTACAGTGATCAAAACAATATGCTCGGGGCTGGAGCGATAGCACAGCGGGTAGGGCGTTTTCCTTGCACGCAGCCAACATGGCTGATACAGGTTCGATTCCCAGCATCCCATATGGTCCCCTGAGCACTGCCAGGAGTGATTCCTGAGTGCATGAGCCAGGAGTAACACCTGAGCATCGCTGGGTGTGACCCCAAAAGCAAAAAAAACAAAAAAAAAACCCAATATGCTCATGTTGTAAGACCAGATCAATGGGGGAAGAATAGAAGAGTCCAGAAAAAAAAAATCATGCATTAAACAGTCAATTAGCTTATGACAAGGAAACACAAATATAGAATGGGAAGCGACATTCTCTTCAGTAAGTGGTGGTGGAAAACGGGCAGTAACATGCAAAAGTATGAAACTATATCACTCCTTTGTACCCCACGAATAAAAGAACTTGAAATAGATCAAAACCTGATATCACAAAACTCCTCCAAGAAAAATAGATGCGAGCTCCCCCTCTATCAGGTTGGCAATACATTTTTGGATATGACAGCAACAGGCAACGAATGCGAAAATAAACAACCGTCGGGACATCGAACTACAAAGCTTCTGTATGCCGAAGGAAATAATTCACCATGCACGAAGGTAACTGAATGAATGAAAATACTTGAAATTCTAAATATAAATTTTACTAGTAATCCTCGGCGGTGCCAGGGCTCGTCCCCCCGAACCGTGCCAAAGTCGTGCGATGGTGAAGGGGCACTGTGGAATCCCGTGGGTTGCCCGCAGGGGTACAGGTCCCCGGGGGAAGTGGGAGAGTTGCATGCTCAGAAACATGGACCCCTTCGTGGTGATCATCCAGATGAGCCGGCCGAGGAAGGGTTGGGGGGGGGGGCACAGCCTGTGCGCGGAGGTGGGCACAGGGGCGGGGTACGGCTTGCCCCTGTGAAACACCCGTGAACCCGACCTACCGGTCACTGAGGATCGACCCCTGAAGGGACCAGGGGACACTCTGGAGGCACAGGAAACCTCCCAGACGGGAGTATAAAATGAGGCTCCCAGAACCATGCCACTGGACTTGGTGCCGGGCTGTGGGGCGGGTGAGAGCCCTCCTCACCCCAAGAGACCCAGCCCCGGCAGACCTCCACTACCCAACAGCCGCCACACACTAGGCTGCTTTCTGGACACATTATAAGACACTTCCTACCCATTTTCTACAATTACTACACCGTATCTGATGGGGTTCAGGCAGTAGGCAACAAATCATAGAGAAAAATATATAAATATATGCCTCTCGGAGAGCCTGGCAAGCTACCGAGAGTATCCCGCCCACATGGACAGAGCCTGCCAAGCTCCCGGTGGCATATTCGATATGCCAAATACAGTAACAAAAACAGGTCTCATTCCCCTGACCCTGTAAGAGCCTCCAATCCTTGGGAAAAGACGAGTAAGCAGAGGCTGCTAAAATCTCAGGGCTGGGAGGAATAGAAACGTTGCCGGTGCCTGCTCGAGTAATTCGACGATCAACGGGATGACGATTCTCAAAAAATTAGAAATTGAGCTCCTATTTGACCCAGCGATACCACTCCTGGGAATATATCCCAGAGAGGCAAAAACGTGTAGCCGAAGTGACATCTGCACTTGTTTGTTCATTGCAGCACTCTTTACAGTAGCCAGAAACTGGAAGAGACCTGAGTGCCCAAGAACAGATGACTGGTTAAAGAAACTTTGGTACATCTACACAATGGAGTACTATGTGGCTCTTAGAAAAGATGAAGTCATGAACTTTACATACAAGTGGTACAATATGGAAAGTATCATGCTAAGCGAAATGAGTCAGAAAGAGAGGGATAGACACAGAAAGATAGCATTCATCTGGGGGATATAAAATAATAAAATATGAGATTAATACCCAAGAATAGCTGAGAGCAACACCAGGAGAATTACTCCATAACTTAGAGGCCAGCTGGGTATTCTAGGGGAAAGGACAATTCAGATAGAAAGGGGAACACCAAGTGGAGGGTGTCTGGAGGATCCTCCCAGGAGGGGAGATGCAGGTTGAAAGTAGACTGGACTGAACATGTTCGCCACTCAATGCCTCTTTGGCTGATCACAGCGCCCAGGAGGAGAGAGAGAACAGGGGGGAATGCCCTGCCACAGTGGCAGGGGGGGATGGGGGGATGGGAGGATGGGGGGGAGGGATATTATCCTGGTGGTGGAAAATGGGCACTGGTGGAGGGATGGGTATTTGATCGTGGTATGACCGAGATCCAAGCACAAAAATTTGTAAATCTACAACTGTACCTCATGTCGTTTCACTAATAAAAAAGAAAAAAAAAAGGATTCTTAAGGTTTAAGCTTGAAGCTCTTTTAAGTCGAACTCGTCGTAGTTGGTACTCAAAGTGTTGGATCTCAATGCCACCCCATGGCTAGCAAAATGTAACACCCCTCCCCCCAAATATGTCCCTTAGACATAAAGATAATTTTGGCCTGTTTATTCTGAAGAAACAGCAGCCCAGCTGAAGCTGGACAAACTAAGTAACAGACATTTACGCTTACTCGGAAACCTCCCATTTGTACTGGTTACTTGCCTTCCCTGTGCCCCCAGGAGGAGGAAGATAAATACAATGAAATCTAGAAATTTCTTCTTAGTGGAAAAGTCACATAGTTCAATTTGTCTGACAATCAAATTCTTGTTTACTGTGTGTCCCAACTTCCCCTTAACCACCAGCCCCAAACATCTTTTGTCTCTACTGGGAAGATGGTGTTTCATGGGAAGTTACCCAGCTTTCCAAGTAGCCCCCCATAACAAACTTCTGTTTTTCTTCTGTGAACCTATCTTCCATTAGAGAGATGAGGGCTATAGGAGTATCTCAGCCGAGGCTCTAGCAGGGTTGAAAGGAAATTCTTCTACATATCAAACGTATTAGTAATCACTATCTGTCACGTTTGTAAGCACCGAAAAACAAAACGGAAAATTCTAGTCTTCTTTAGAGGGGTGGTGATTAGGGGCTTGGGGTCACACCCTGTGGTGCTCAGGGCTTCCTCCTGGATCTCTGCTCAGGTCCCTTCCGGTGGGACAGCACATTCAAGGTGAGTGCCTTACCCACTGTACTATCTCTCTGGCCTGTTGACTTTCGCTGCCATACCTGGCAATACTCGGGGATGAGTCCTGGTCTGGTGCTCAGGGATCACTCCTAGGCCACTGCTGAGTGGTGCTGAACCCCGACTTTCTGACCGTGAGACCCATAGTGCTATTTCTATGAGATGATTAAGACAACAACATCAAAAACAAAAACCATAATTTAAAAATCTCTGGAACCAAAAGAAGAGTAATATTTTCCCAGTGGTGGCCAAAATGTGCTGTGACAACATCTACACGGATCAAAGCTTTTCACTCACATTGCAGGCTTTT